AAAAATTTTATTACGTATAAACTTATAATTAAAATCATGTAACTGAAATTTCTTAACTTCTAGGTTTAAAAAAAAATCGTATTTAACTAAAACGGTTAGCTATTTAAATGAAAAATTGGTGTGTCAATTAACCCAAATAAATTGATAAGCAGTAAATGAATATTTACATAAAAAATGATTGATAAACCATACTATATAAAAAAAAATCAAGTTTCTTATGTCAGGACCACTTCTATAAGAGTCAGTAAGATCCTTGGCTGGTATGCAGGAGATCGTAGGTTCAAATCCAGTAACAAAATGTTTTCTTTCTCTTTTTTTGTTTAGAGAATTATTTAAAAGAGTAAGAAATAAAGAAAATTAAAATAAAAACTTGTGCTGTAGTGGTGTGGAGAGGACCGTTACCATGCTGTATGGTAAGAGAGATGGGGCCAAGGGGGAGTAATATGAAATATTCACTCCTGTCTTTCATTTTTTTAAAGTCACCAACCTGCAATCGTTGATTTACTTTCACGGATTGCTCGTTAAAAGAATTATAACTTCAGAAATCTCGACCAAAAGTTTCATACGAATACTGCTGTCTGTGTACCGTCTTAACATCTGTCACTCAGGTGTGTGCTTAACCATATTTATTGATTTTCCGGTGAAGTAAAATACTGCATTGATGAATATGAACACGCTAAAGTGAACAAAAACTTACTGTATGTGTTGGTGTAAGGTTTTTTATTAGTTTTGATGAAATGCAACGCAGGAGATACAGGCAACTTCTTTACCTTGGGTGTTTGCCTCAAACAGTGGCTGGTGCATCAAGGGATTCCGGGTCTGGGAGGTTAACTTCCAAGTGCCGCTGAAAGAGGGATTCTTAGCAGACTAGGTTCTTCTTTTATAGGTCATTTCCAGCTTATTTGTGTCTATCTTTTCCATTATTTACTACGTAAGATCGATTTCCAGTATCAATTTGCATTTTTTGCTCATAAACAGTCTGAAGTTTTGTGCACTGTTCATCAATCACGTAATCGTGTTTGCAGTTCTTAAATTTCAATCAGGATCATTTTTCAATCATAGAATTGTGTAATAATTTGATTTCATACGTTATTTTATAAAAAAATAAATTCCTTGTTATTAGATTAAACAGCAATTGCATAAATTCATGACCACTTGCTTCAGTCTCCCTTAATTCGTAAGGATAATTAAATTTTCTTTTTTAATATACTAATTATATCTTTTTCTTGTTTTTTTTTTCTTTTAAGATTATTATTTTTATTTTTTGTTGTTGAAAATTTCGAGTATTGGCTTTAATTTACTACTTGCTTGAATTTCTTTTGCATTTTAATCTTTTTTTTGCTTAAGATATGCATGGGCAGGGCTGTCACTTTAGTCAATAGAGTGTTTGTCAGAGTAGATGAGTGATGGGCGGAGAATGATGAGTAGTGACGTTATTCGTGGTTTACTTATAATAAGCTGTTCAGGTACTAAACCAAAAAGTAAGGATGATCTTTTACTTTTTTTGGCTTTATTTTCATAGTAGTGTTTTGTAGAGAAAATTTAAATTGGGTGGGTGTGGAAGTTCTTAGAGTAGTAGCAAAAGCTCTGGGGTCCAGGTGGCTTGCAGTGGTTAAAGAGTTTCTCATGTGATTAAGAACAATAATGGTAATAGTAAGATGAGGAGAATCAAAGTTTTAACGGGTAACTTTTTCTGATGGTCAACATTGTGAGGGTACGTAAGACTCTTGATCTATCTTCTTAATATTTCTATCCTTCCGTTCATAAATTTTTCGCTTTCTGTCTTTTTTTGATTGTGTCGTTTTTCGTTTTTTCGTTTCTTAAATTTTTGTTTCATTCTT